TACCCAGTCCTTAGGGTGCAATATCACTATAAAACAATTTTCATAGAACCTGAAGTCCAAAATGTTTCCATAGAAAAAAGTGACAGATATAGAAAAAAATTTCAGACCCACAGGTTGGTGTGTTTTCTATTTAGAAAGCAGTAAGGAAAGTAGTAAAGTCGGACTGGGCCGACTATATGATACCCTTCACCATTTTGGGTATATTCTACATATGTATCCTAACATATGTAGAATATATCTGAACCGATTTCAAGGAAACTTGCCGGGGACTAATTTATATTACATCAGTACGTTGTGTAAATCGGCCTAGCTATGGATCTTTTCACGAAACTTAGCAACATCATTCTAGACTTTATTCTGTACCCTATACCAAAATTCGTGCAAATCGAAAAATATATAGGGACTTTGGTGCACCAATTACATAAAATCGGACGAAAATATATATGGGAGCTATATCTAAATCTGAACCAATTTTCACGAAACATAGCACACGTCATTCTAGCCTTAATTCAGTACGCTATGACAAATTTCGTGCAAATCGAATGATTTTCAGAGATTTTGAAGCACCAATTACCTAAAATCGGATGAAAATCTATATGGGAGCTGTATCTAAATCTGAACCGATTTTCACGAAACTTTGCACACATTATTATAGACGCAATTCAGTACGTTATGCCAAATTTTGTGCAAATCGAAAGATATTTGTGGTATTTGGTGCACCAATTACCTTAAATGGGCCAATCGGATAAAAATATATATGGGAGCTATATCTAAATCTGAACCGATTGTCACGAAACTTTGCACACATCATTCTAGTATCAATTCAGTACACCTTGTCAAATTTCGTGCAAATCGAAGGATATATAGAGACTTTGGTGCACCATTTACATAAAATCGGACGAAAATATATATGGGAGCTATATCTAAATCTGAAACGATTTTCAAGAAATTTTACACACTTCGTTCTAGACTTGATTCAGTACGCTATGCCAATTTTCGTGCAAATCGAAACATACTTTGGTGCACCATTTACCTTAAATCGGACGAAAATATATATGGGAGCTATATCTAAATCTGAACAAACATATGCACAAAGACATAATACCCTGTACCACAGTGTGGTGAAGGGTATAAAAAGTCACATAGGTCGGTGGTTTTTCCTTTATAGTAGAAATCGCCCTCAGGCCGGCATTAATTAACAAGCCCTCCGGTCGGTATTTTTTCAAGACCATAGGTCGTTATTTTTTCCAATAGAAAAAATTGTATGGCCTACGGTAGACCTTTTTTCTATTAAAAAAAATGTCAGACACTCATGTCGGCATTTTCATATAGAAACAAATTCTCAGGCCCTTAAATCGGTAAGTTTCATCTTCAAAAATATTCTCAGAGCTTTTAATTCCTATAATTCACAGAACATATGGTCGCTTTTTTCATAGAAAAAATTTCAGACCCTCAGACCGATATTTTATCAAAAAATTTCCATTTAGAAAAAAAATTCACACACCCACAGGATGGGGTATTTTCTATATAGAAAAAAGTTCAGAGACCCATAGATCAGTTTTTTCCTATATAGAAGAAAAATCGTAGACCCTCAGGCTGGTATTTTATCAATAGAAAAAATTTACAGGTCTCTGGTCGGTAAATTGTCAAATTGTCAATAGAAACAAATTTTCAGGACCTTAGGTCGGTATTTCTTTCAGGCCCTCCGGAGTAGGCATTTTTTTTATTAAAAAATTTTTTCAAGCACTCAGGTCGGCATGTTTCCTCTTCAAAAATATTCTCAGAGCGTAATGTCGGTATTTTTCTATAGAAAAAAAATCTGCGAGTCTCAGATCAAATAATTTCCAATATAAAATAATTCCCAGACACTCAGTTCCTATAATTCACAGAACATGGTGGCTTTTTTCATAGAAAAAAAAATCTCAGACCCTCAGACTGATATTTTGTCAATTGAAAAATTGAAAATTTTCCATATAGAAAAAAATTGACCCAACCAGTTTGGTGTGTTTTCTATATAGAATACAGTTCACAGACCCATAGGTCGGCGATTTTCTTATATAGAAGAAATCGCAGACCTTCAACCCAACATTTTATCAATAGAAAAAATATTAAGCCCTTCGGTCTGTATTGTATAGAGAAACATTGTCAGGACTTTGGTCGGTACTTTTTCTATAGAAAAAATTTTTAGGCCCTCCTATTAAAACAAACTATCTGGCACTCAGGTCGGCATTTTTCCTATAGAAAAAAATTCTCAGACCCTTAGATCGGTAATCGGTAATGTCGGTATTATTCCACAGAAACAAATTCACAGAGCCTCAGGTCAAATATTTTCCAATATAAAAAAATTCGCAGACACTCGGTTCCTATAATTCACAGAAAATATGGTCGGGTTTTTTATAGAAAAAAATCTCAGACCCCCATCCCGATATTTTGTCAATTGAAAATTTTCCATATAGAAAACAATTCACACACCCATATGTCGGTGTTTTCTCTATATAGAAAAAGTTCACAGGTCACATAGGTCGGCGTTTTTTCCTATTTAGAATAAATCGCAGACCATCAGGTCCGGTATTTTATCAATAGAAAAAATGTACAGGCCTCCGGTGGGTAATTTTTCAATAGAAAAAATTGTTAGGACCTAATGTCTGTATTTTCTTTTCTATAGGAAAAATTGTCAGGTCCTCCAGTAGGCATTTTTTCTATGAAAAAATTTCAGGCACTCAGGTCGGTATTTTTCCTGTAGAAAAAAATTCTCAGACCCTTAATTGGGTATGTTTTCTGTTCAAAAATATTCTCAGAGCCTAAAAAAATGCTATATAAAAAATTTCAGACCCTTAGGCCGATATTTTGTCAATGGCAAAAATTCGGCCGACCAATATTTGCCTATGAAAAAAAACTCACAGGCCCTTAGGTCGGTGTTTATTTATTTATTATTTTTTTTTTTTTTTTTTTTTGTTAATAGAAAAAATTCACCGACCCCCACCTCGTAAATAATAAAAAAATTGTTGCATAGGTGTATAAGTTCGTGTCCAAACATAATCATTATGTTTAAATAACTTCGATAACAGACAACAAAGCCTATCAGCATATAACCAGCTGTCGTTATCCGACAACAATTGTTCTTCCAACCAAGTAAATATTTCGACTTTACAGGCTAAAAATCTCAAAACTTAACTTCAAATTGTTTGTCGTACGATACGGTGCGTCGATATGATTTTGGCATGAGTGATTATAATTTGACAGGTGTTTGTTTGTGATTTTCATTCCAAGTGGTGTTTGTTGTCCAATAGCAACAACAGTTTTGTTGTTGTTGTTGTTGTCGATAGCAATGCAGTTGCACTTTTGGTGGCTGTAGTGGTCAGCCAGTCGGTCGGAGTTATTAGTATTGCTTAATATTTTTTTTTCTATTCATTTTTTGTGGTGTTTCTTTTGTGGACTCAATTTTTTTTGTGATTATGTTTTGTTGTATATTTTGACAACAACAACAATAACGAAAAGTTCCTCAATTTGATGTGTATTGTCTAGTAACACTTCGATCGTAACTAATAACAGCGGTCAGTGGTGAGGCAAATTATTGGATATATCTGTGAGGCTAAATTGTAGGCCAAGCGAACAACTGCAAACTACAACAACACTTCATGGTGATGCAGTGGCTGCATCGACATTTCAATTGTTGCATAATAAAAAAATTACTTTGTTTAATTTTTTTAATTGTTTTTGTTTTTCCTCTTAATAATTGGTTTCTTATGGGGACCAACAATATTGAAAGGAATTAATCAAGTATTTGGTTTACATTCGAAATAATTAAAAAAAAACAAAAAAGGGTCTGTGAATTTTTTTCTATAGAAAAAAAAACGCCGATTCAAGGGTCTGTGAATTTTTTTCTATAGAAAAAAACACACACCTATGGGTCTGTTAATTTTTTTCTATAGAAAAAAACACCCACCTATGGGTCTGTGAATTTTTTTCTTTACACAAAAAAACACCGATTTTTTTTTCTATAGAAAAAAAAACACCGACCTATGGGTCTGTGAGTTTTTTTCTGTAGAAAAAAACACCGACCTATGGGTCTGTTAATTTTTTTCTATAGAAAAAAACACCGACCTATGGGTCTGTGAATTTTTTTCTATAGAAAAAAACACCGACCTATGGGTCTGTGAATTTTTTTCTATAGAAAAAAACACCGACCTATGGGTCTGTGAATTTTTTTCTATAGAAAAAAAACACCGACCTAGGGGTCTGTGAATTTTTTTCTATAGAAAAAAACACCGACCTAGGGGTCTGTGAATTTTTTTCTATAGAAAAAAACACCGACCTAGGGGTCTGTGAAAAAAACACCGACCTAGGGGTCTGTGAATTTTTTTCTATAGAAAAAAACACCGACCTAGGGGTCTGTGAATTTTTTTCTATAGAAAAAAACACCGACCTAGGGGTCTGTGAATTTTTTTCTATAGAAAAAAACACCGACCTAGGGGTCTGTGAATTTTTTTCTATATAAAAACACCGAATTTTTTTCTGTAGAAAAAAACACCGACCTAGGGGTCTGTGAATTTTTTTCTATAGAAAAAAACACCGACCTATAGGTCTGTGAATTTTTTTTTCTATAGAAAAAAACACCGACCTAGGGGTCTGTGAATTTTTTTCTATAGAAAAAAAACACCGACCTAGGGGTCTGGAATTTTTTTTCTGTGAATTTTTTTCTAAAAAAAACGACCGACCTAGAAAAAAAACACCGACCTAGGGGTCTGTGAATTTTTTTCTATAGAAAAAACACCGAAATATGTGTCTGCGAATTTTTTTCTATAGAAAAAAACACCGACCTAAGGGGTCTGTGAATGATTTGATTTTAGATTCTGCACCGACCTAGGGGTCTGTGAATTTTTTTTTCTATAGAAAAAAGACCTAGGGGTCTGTGAATTTTTTTCTATAGAAAAAAACCACCGACCTAAGGATCTGTGAATGATTTGATTTTAGACTCTGCATGTTTTTTTCCTTTCATATTAAATGGGATTTATTAGTTTCTTTATCAAATCATTACTGGCATGAATGTTCATGTGATAGAATTTGGATTTTTTCAAGAAATTCTCTTCCTCAGCCATTAGCCCATAAACATCCTCAATAGATAACATGATTTCCATTTCATTTGGCCACAACAATTTTCGGGCATCTCGTCGAAATTTTTGTATACTCCATGTGATTCCGTCATGTGCTCTCATAACCGCTTTCATATTCGGCAATTCCTTAGTATTCTTTGTTCTCAAATATTCCATTTCAAATGCATCGATTTCCGATAGTAATCGCAAGAGCAGAAAATCAGCATAACGTTTTTTAACTTCTAATTGTGATAGATGATTATAATAGTCCATTGTTCGAGAATTGCGGAGGATGATAAATATTACGATAAGGACTTTAAAGCTGAGAATGCATGCGATCAAAAGAAATCCATATTGATCTAGCTCTTCAATGGATCTCTTTAGCAGCTTATTCCAATAAATCAGGTCTCGATTGTTTTTGACCAATTCCCGATGTAGAAATCCATAAAGCATTAAAAAGGGGATGCAAACAAATGATAGAACGTGGTAATTATTTAAGAAGAAGCGGTGTATTTTATGGCCGATTTTCATAATTATTTTTTTTTTAATTTTGAAATTTTAAGAAACAAATTTTGACAACTAATTTTTAAATTAAACAAAGGGAGTCTATAAAGTTGTTTCTATGGAGACATATTTTTTGTACAAAAATGACTGTTTTTTTCAGTCCAAAATGCACGACCTCAGGAGTCCGGTGTCTTTTTCTATAGAAAAAATCACATTTTTTATTAGAGAAAAAAATCGAACGACCCCAGAAGTACCATTTTTATAGCAAAAAATATGACAATGTTATTTATTAAAAAAATCTAGACATAAAGGCGTCAAGTTTTGTTTGTGTGTTTCCCACATGAAAATGCTCCAACTGAACATCGATATTTCCCACATTCATTTTATAGCTCAGAACATATCTGGAACACTCGTGTGATCTAGTTTTGAGAAAGTCTTTGTCTGAAGCTTAATAATCGAATCAAACAAAGCGAACAAAAATAATAATCATCTGTAAAATATAATTTCTTCATGTCATGACGATGATGATAATAATGATGGTGTTACTACCTACACTCACAAAAAAATCTCTGTCAAACATAAATCATACCAAAAAAGAACACAAGAATTGTGCCGCATTTAGGTTAACATTTTTATCGCGTTTTTTTCATGTTTGTTGTTTAATGAATATAAATACACATGTTCCGCCACTATGCTGTCATGCAAAATTGTTCATGTTCGCTTCATCCATAAGCTTCCAAATCAATCACTTCGTTTAAATATCTATCATTTTAAGTCTCTTTGTGTGTTTTTCTTGAACATTTATGGTGGTGTAAATGTCTACATAACTTAAATAGAAGAAGTTTTGGCACCCCATCGCTGGCAAATAGCTATTTGTGTCAAACTGTCGAACAATTTGTCAAATTATTTGAAGCTGATGTGACATTTGACATTTAATGCGTGGTTAACATTAAAATGCGTTTTTATGATTTGTTGTTGTTATTTTGCAAAATTTTATTTGCTTTTGAAGGCGACAGCTGCTTAATAGAAGTTACCCACATACACAGGTATGCCTTTGGCAATCCGTATCATAGTTACATACAGACATTTTTGACATACATTTCTTGCGTAAAGGGTTGAATTTTTGTCAATATCGTTATAACCCACACATCATTTGTCAGGGTATTATAGCTTTGTGCAGCCCCAAGAGTTTGTAACGCCGCGAAATATTGGTCCTAGACCCACAAATGTGTATGCCGATTGTCATATCTCGACTAGCTGAGTCGATCTAGACATGTGTGTCCGTCCGTCCGTCTGTCCATTATAATTTGTAAACACGATACAGGCCACAGTTATGAACCAATCTTAACGAAATTTTCTATGTAGGAAGGGTTCTGCCCAATGAAGACCCCTATTGTTTTTGGTAAAGATCGGTTAATATTTAGGGGATGAAATGGACCAAATATTTAACATTTGTCCGTTTTCCTGGTCTCTCCAGAGGCTGAAATTATGGTCCGAAATTTTACATGAAGAACGGGATCGGACTAAAGAAAAAGCATGCCTGATTTGATGAAAATTGGTCAATTTTTAGAGGGTCGAATGGGCACTGACTTTTGTGTGAAAAGTTACACATTTTTTATTCTATAGGGAATATATTTACTCCTGAAGAACATAGGCCCGAGAAGTTGATAGTACATCCAAAATGAGTGGTTGGCCTTTAAATTGATACCAATTATATTGTCGTATGTGCTCGAATGTGGGAGTTACATTTAATTATTCAGATATTATTTAGTAACCCATTTCCACACTAGAGGGCGGAAATATAGCGCTGATGGTGGGGCCCGTCCGACTATACTGTTTGGCCCACTGGTTATACCCTTCACCACACTGTGGTACAGGGTATTATGTCTGTGTGCATATGTTTGTAACAGGCAAAAGCAAACGAGATAGACACATGGTTCCTTCTGAGAATATGCATAGAATCACCTTCTGAGTCGATTTACGCATGTACGTCTGTCCATGTATTTTTGTGAACAAAATACAGGTCGCATTTATGATCCGATTTGGATGAAATTTCGGATGGGTCACTTATTTGGCCCACGGATGAACCCTATTGAAATATGGAAAAATCGGTTCAGATTTAGATATAGCTCCCATATATATTTTCGTCCGATTTAAAGTAAATGGTGCAACAAAGTCCCTATATATCTCTCGATTTGCACGAAATTTGGCACAGCGTAATTAATTAGGCCTAGAATGATGTGTGCGAAGTTTCATTAAAATCGGTTCAGATTTAGATATAGCTCATATATTTATTTTCGTCCGATTTAATGTACATGGTGTACCAAAGTCGCTATATATTTTTCGATATGCACGAAATTTGGCACAGCGTAATAAATTAGGTATAGAATGATGTGTGTTAAGTTTCCAGAAAATCGTTTCAGATTTATATATAGCTCCCATATATATTTTCGTCCGATTTAATGTAAATGGTGTACCAAAGTCCTTTAATATCATTCGGTATGCACGAAATTTGGCCCAGCGTAATGAATTAGGTCCAGATTGATGTGTGCGAAATTTTGTGAAAATCGGTACTGATTTAGGTAAATTGTGATCCAAACTCGCAATTTTTGTCCGATTGAGACAATACTTTTCACAGCGTACTAGAATAATTGCAGTTTGATGTGTGCGAAGTTTTGTGAAAATCGGTTCAGATATAGATATATATGGATATAGTAGTAGTCCGGTTTTAAGTAAATTTTGCACCAAACTCGCAATTTTTGTCCGATTGAAACAAAAATTTTCAAAGTGTACTGAATTAGGTCCTGATTGATGTATTGTGATACGTTCCTATTAATGTATACGACGTTTTGTGAAAATCGGTTCAGATTTAGATAGGGCTACCATATATAGTTTCTTCCAATTTTGGTAAATGGTGCACCGAGGAGCCTATGTCTGTTCCATATACACGAGATAATTAGGTCCAGATTTACATATAGCTCCACATACATTATTTTCCTAGATTTCATACAAATTTCATACAAAAGAACGTTTTCCGATAGAGACACAATTTTTCATAGATTTCAGAATGGTATGTGCATTGAGTTTTTTACTTGGTTCACATATCTATGTAGATCACACATTTAGTTTCGCCCCATTCTATTTCAATGGGCCTCTAAAGATTAGATGTTGATTAGATGAATATTGTATATATTAGCATCTCTTGTATGTATCCAAAGTGGTTTTTGTAGGTTTATCAAATTACATCGTTTGGAAACCCTGTCCAAAAATCCTACTTTTGAGCTTTCCTTACTGGTTTTTAGTATGGAGATGTGCTATACAAAATATCAAATTACAGCCGATTCGTTTGGAAACCCTGTCCAAAAATCTCAAAATACCGAATATTTGTAGGTACCGTTATATGGGGACTACCGTGAAGCTTGGGTTAATAGTAATAAGTTTTGGTGCAATTGTGTGTTATTCAATGAGAACCAAAAAAACCAAATTACAGCCAATTCGGTTGATAAATCTGTCTAAATTCTAAATACCGAGTATTGGGGAGTACCGTTATATGGGGGCTACCCTGAAACTTGAGTCAATATTAATAAAATGTGGTACAGATATTTGATATGCATTGAGACCCGAAAATACTAATTTTTACCTAAACGTGTCCAAAATCTCCAAAATATTGAGTATTGTTATATGAGGGCTACACAAAAAAGCGGATCGATATACCGCATTTACAATACAAAACATCCTATGAGTACTAGCAATGTCTGCGAAAAATTTCATAACTCTATATTGCGATATCTATCGTGATTTCCCATATATATATATATATATATATATATAAGTACTCACAGGCCTTCGGAACTGACATTTTTAAAGAAAAAACAACTCAATTCTCACACAAACAAACTGCATAATCAGGATTTTTAGCTTTTAATTATTTGTTTTGTTTTCTTTTTTTTCAAAATGTAGGTTACGAACAAAAAAAATATTGCAAAAAATATGTGTGTCAATTTTGTGTGTTTTTTTTTTTTTTTTTGCTGTCACAGGAAATATTGTTATTAGCTGTGTTCTAAATGAACGTATGTGGGTTTTTTTTTTTTTTTTTTTTTGTTATTTTCACATGACATAAAAAATAATGATTTTTGCCAGCAGTGAAGTGAAATAATATTTATTATTAACACTTTTATTTCAGCGAAGTCAATGACCCAAAAACAGCAGCTGCTGTCGCTAACTGGGGAAATGACATAAAATTGCCAACAATTGAGAAAAAAGAACACCAAACACATACACCACGCATATAGAGAAAGTATTAGCCAGCAAATATTTACAAAATTAATAAATTACATTTATAATTATGTAAACCATAGGCTATATGTGGACCATGAGGTAACATATTCAAGGAAAAATATTTCCAATGTAAACAATCTGATCTGAGAGCATTGTTGTTACTTTATTGTTTTATTTATTTAAAAATTTATTTAAATTAATTAAAAATATTTATTTATTTATTTTATTTTCTTTTTTGGGGAAAATACTTTTTACCATAATAGCAGTAGTCACAGTTATTGATAATACACATTATCGCCTTGGCCATTGTTCTACCAAAAAAAATTGTGTCGAAATAATTTCCCCTCTGTCATATCTAAATAAGGCAACTCGTTGGAACTTTCATTATTATTACCATAATTGTGGTGGTCAACTTTGTTTTTGGATAATTTTATTGAAAAGAAAAACAACAATGAAATCAACATTTCATTTGCATACAATTCAAAACAAACAAAAAATCAAATAAATAATAACAGTTCTCTTGTTTGTTTGTCCGCATGGAAATCGTTCAATACCAAAAACAAATCACAGAAACCATATAATGGAACAAAAATATGGTGTTAATTGATTTCACAATTATTCGAAAACTAGGTGCCACGTTTCTTTATATAGTAGTTAATATTTTTATTTATTTATATGAGTCTTTCTCATATAATTGGTATGTGCGCACGCACTAGATTTGGCAAAATATCTTGAACAGGTATTCTATAGTAAGCCTTAACACGCATTTCTTGTTTATAGAAGAGTGTAGGATTTGTTCTATCTCTATTGGGAGTCTTTAGAATGCATTTTCTCCACAGCACACCTACAGAAATGCTGCTGACTACAGAGGAAGCGATTTAAAAAAATCCAAAGGGTCGAAGAGAAGAATATTTTTTTAAAGTGAATCGTGAAAACCATCTATAAAATGTATGCAGTATCCATTAAGGAGACCGCCCCCCACCCATTCACGGTTTCGAAATTTTTGAAGATATTACCGATTTATTGTGCTAGCATCAAGTGACGGCAAGAGGGCTTCTCAAACTTAAAACGCATTTTTTTCCAAACAACGTTTTTGCGAATGGCGGGCATGATAACTCAAAAACTAATGATCCGATCGATTCCAAATTTTGGTGAAGATCTTCCTTATTTTTTAACTTAGTTTGTGGTCAAAAATAGGAGATTTAAAAAAAATCAAAGTTCCGCCATTTTCTTAATTTTAGAGCGAAGTCAATAATAGTTCTTACAAAAGCCTACATGTCTGGCTCTTCTGGCTCTTTCTAACACCGTTGGAATTTTCGGATTCCGATGTTCCAGTGAGAAGTTATCATGCCCGCCATCAAAAATAAGGATTTTTTAAATCACAAACAACAACAACAAACATTTTTTGTAAATTATTCTTTTTCCTTTTTAAATCTTAAAATATATATGTGCAAAGTTACAAACCTTAACAAGCATTGGTATTCATTTACCAGCCCATTTAAAATCTTAAAAATAAAAAATCGTGAATGGGGGGGTGTTCCCTTAAAAAACCTGCTTAAGAAGTTATTATTGAAAATGGGGTATATTGGCCTACGTTTTGGCTCTCTATAAGGGCATTTTATTTATTTTTATACTCTTGACCTGAAATTGGCCTGTAATTTGGTATTTTGGGTAACACATCTTCCTATCCCCTACTATTCGCTATTTTATGACTTTTGAGAACGTTGAGAACAACATCATCGGTTGTAATTTTTTGTATTTCGGATTCTCCTACTAAAAATCAATCAATATTGGTCCAATTTTCCGTTAATCCCAAATTTCGGTATTTTTGGGAGTTTGGTCAAGTGTTTTAATATACTTGGCTGTAATTAATTATATTTTTGAATCCTCAATGAGTAATAATCAATATTTTTCCCAGGTTTCTTAATAGCACCTATATGGTACCCGCATAATTCGGTATATTAGGTTTTTCAGCCTAATTGGCCCTACTTTGATATTTGAGGTAATCATGAGGTCACAAATCTTCCTACCAAAAATTACGTTTTGCTATAGTTCTCACATAAGGGTCCGGCCTCATTTTCGATATTCCTCATCAACATAGTTCCACAAATTATTTATGATAGGTTTTAAAATAGACCACATACAGATGTCCTCTTTATACTAAATTTGTCATTCAGTTTGCAACACCTTGAAATATTTACTGGAGGCCCCAAAAAGTTCTCCGAATTTTATTATTAATCAGAATAAAATTCTATGCCGATTTATGCATGCCCTTCTATCTGTCCGTAGAGATCGCAATATTTAAGATAGAGATCTGAATTTTCCTCATACTCCTGAGATATTTGGTATTTCAAATGGGATATATAGATCCAAATGTGCTCTCCAACATTCAGTATTTTTGTACACGTTTTTCAACCGAACTGGCTGTAATATTGACCCAAATTACTTTGTAATACCCATATAACGGTATCCCCCAATATTCGGCACATGTCTGAAACAAAAATTAGTAATATTGACCCATGGGGTGGTACCATTGGCCCCGCACAGTGGTACCACCCCAGGGGATTTTGGTCACAGTTTTCAACGGACTTGAGTTTAATTTAGTATTTTGGGTTCTCATTGCATAGCACATCTCCGTACTAAAAATTATTAATTTTGACCCATGTTTCAGGATACCCCCATAAAACGGTACCCCCAAATATTCGGTATTTAGGGGATTTTAGACAAGTTTTCCATTTGAATTGGCTGAAATTTAGTATTTTGGATTCTTATTGTATAGATCATGTCCGTACGAATAATTATTAATATTGACTCAAGGTTATTCCCCATATAACGACACCCCCCAATATTAGGTATATTGGGGATTTTGCTCTTCTGTCAATAAGGATCAATAAGGCCCATTTAAAAAAAAATTTAATGGTTTGTTTCCAATAGTAGGGGTTTAAGTTGAATACTTCGTTCCCTTGTTGTACAACATTTGAAAATCCACTCTAAATTGTTTGAATTGAATCTGTTCAAAAGTTAAACAAATGTTTTAGCCTACACAATTCTTTCAACACATATTAAAAATTACTTCTTCTTCTTTAAAATCCATCTTCAAGTCGTTCATCAAAGACTACCTTAAGCTCTTTCAGCCCCAGAGATACCCGGTCTTCAGTTTATCTAAAAAGATTCGCTTCAATTTACTTATATAAACTCTCTAGCTTCGACATGCCGATCGACGAACGACTGTCTGAAAGACTCCATTCAGCCCTTCAGACTTTCACATTACATTACATTTTTGTAACACCGGTGATTGGTTAAATTTTTAACCAAATTAATTATAATTTTATATTTTACAAACCCATTGGGTTGAAAATATCCCGAAGAAAAATGACCAATATTGGTAGTCCCCACATAATGATACCCCATTCTTCTGTATTATGAGAATTTTGGGTACGTCAGCTCGTCTATGAAATACTCCCTTCAGGTGGTCTATGAGAGACTGCCTTCGGATCTTATATAAACACTGCACATACATAAGACATGCTGACTTCAGTTCGTCTATGACAGACTCCCTGCTTCGGATCGTCTACGAAAAACTCCCTTCAGCTAGCATATGGAAGACTCCCTGCTTCATCCCGTCCATGAGGGAGTCTCCTAAACTCGCCCATGAAAGTATCCTGAAAGCGTATCTATGAAATACTCCCTTAAGCTCGTCTATAAAGGAATTCCATTTTCAGATCTTACATGAATTAATACATGGTCAGTTCGTCTGTAAAAAAATACTCACTGCTTCCCCTTGTCTTCTGCACGTTTTAGGTAGTTTATTACCTATTTTACTATTACATTTTAATTGTACTCGAAATTTAGCACTTTGCTATAAAATGTAATTCAATATTTATGTCGATGCTTTCCGGCTAATTTGATTCTCATCAGTTGCTTCTCCATATACTTTATGGTTCGATCGAATTGCTTAAGAAATTGTAACAATAAATAGAAAACTAAAATTAAATAGAAAATAAATTTTGTGGTTTCTGTAAACAGCATACAAAAGCCAACAAACTAACAAATTGAATACTTAAAATTTAACAACAACAACAGCAGCAACAAAACATTAGAAGAATAAAAACAACAAACCCCGCTCAATGAGTCTTAAGCACTTTCACTTTGAATAGCAGCTGAATGTGCTGTGCTGTGCTGCGCAAAGCGAAGAAAGACAAACCAAACGAAATAATAAACAGAGCGCTGAGCCTGCGCAATAGATGTGGTGGAGCGGGCGATATGAATTATTTGTATTTGTTGTATTTTTTTTCATTATTGTGCCATACACATACCATTTTTTTTTTGTCATTTCAACTATGCCACTCTCGGGGTCTAAATGAGGGCAGGGGGAGAATATGAATGTGTAGTCTCCACTTTAATACATTTAATATTTTTTTTATATAAATACAATTTTAATAGCTTACTTAGGAAAGCAGGCAAGAGACCGGTAATAAAAAATAAATTAACTGTCTCCATTAATAGTTTTGTAATTATCCCAAAAAAGAAAAAAATAGATACAGAACGTTACAAAGTAGTAACCGCTTAACTGGTCATTCGACATGGTAATTTTCATTTGCGACATGTTACAAATCATAAGTGCCATAATCTTTTACATTTTATTATCACTTACGGCCTTAGCCAGTAGGATGGGAAGGGGGAGCGAGGGGGTGTATGATTTTTGGGCACAGTATTTTTAGCGGGAAGATGCGCCACACGGATTTCGAAATATTTAATATAGAGCTTTGCATTTTTTTCCCTCCCTGGAGGTTTGGCATTGAAAATTGAATATTTCAGGACATGTTTTGGTACAGCTACTCGCATTACGATACCACCCCTTCCTCCCCATTATTCGAATTTTTAGCGAATTATGAACACATTTTCACACACTACCAAATATTCTCAATATTGTTTCACTATTCAGGTTAGTCTCCATATAACGGTATCTTCCAAATTTCGGTGTTTAGTGGGGATATTGGGTAAATTTTTAACCAAATTAAGTGTATATCAATATTTTTATACCCCACACAACTATGTTGTCAGGGTATTATAGCTTTGTGCAGCCCCAAGAGTTTGTAACTCCGCGAAATATTGGTCCTAGACTCATCTTTAAGTATACCGATCGTCATATCTCGACTAGCTGAGTCGATCTAGACATGTGTGTCCGTCCGTCTGTCCATTATAATTTGTAAACACGATACAGGCCACAACTATGGACCAATATTCACGAAATGTAGGATGAGTTCTGCCCAATGAAGACACCTATTGTTTTTGATAAAGTTCGATCAATATTTAGGGGATGAAATGGACCAAATACTTAATTTTTGTCGGTTTTTTTGGTCGCTCCAGAGGCCGCAATTATGACCCGAACATCTCGAAATTTAACATGGAGAAGGGGATCGGGCCAAAGAATAAGCATGCCTGGTTTGATAAAGATTGGTCAATATTTAGCGGGTCAAATGGACCCTGACTTTTGTGTGAAAAATGACAAAATGTGTATTCTATAGGGAATACCTTTACTCCTGAAGGACATAGACCCTAGAAGTTGATAGTATATCCAAGAGGAGTGGTTTGTCCTTAAATTAATACCAATTATATTGTCGTATGTACTCGGATGTGGGAGTTTTTAAATGGACTAGTAATTAGAAGGGCTGCACTGAATATTAGAAATATTTGTCGGTCAAGAGGGTGCAAATATCGCGAAATATTGCCCAAGCTCAGAATATAGAACCACAGAAATTTTGATTTTCGTGGAAGTTGTGTAGGGTATCATATGGTCGGCTACGTCCAACTATATTGCTCCGCTCACTGGTTTAGATTTCCATTGGGTAAAAAATATCCCTAAAAAATATTGGTCCAATGACGGGTGACGTAGTGGATGATAGATACCAAGCAACGACTCTGATTGGCTTTAATATGGCAAATCCCAGGCTTATCTTAATCCCTCTTTCTCAGAGCAAATCGAGATGTACAGGAGTCAGAATGAAGTCTGAATTTTACCAACGAGTTAAACACGAACCAGAAGCTTTGGTGCGGGCACATCCTACTGTTGAGATGAAGATGAAGGTGGCAGCGTGTTGAGGATTTGGAAGGAGTATTTTGTAAAGCTTCTGGTATCAAAAAATAGTAAATGAGGTCAGAATAGCAATTTGTCGGCTGAAAAATAATAATGCAGCAGGTACCGATGGAATACCAGCCGAACTACTTAAGACCTGTGGTCAGACGCTTATCAGGAGCATATACCAACAATTTAGCTGGAGGAATGCATGTCCAATGAATGGAACCTCAGCAAGCAGCATGCCCCGTGCAAATAAAACAAGACATGATGTTATGTACCAACTATAGAGGAATTAGTCTGATTCCCATCGCGACTGAAGCCAATGGTCTATGATATTATTAATGCGGCTTTAGACCTGGCAAATCCACTATAGACCAGACTTTCACACTGCATTAAATTAAAGATTAAATTAAAAGATCCTCGAGAAATATATCAACACATTTCACCTATTCGTCGACTACAAAGCCGCATTGGATAGCGTTCGGCATTCCTGCAAAATTAGTACGGCTATGCAGGATAACTTTAACTGGCACAAGGTCAGCAATTAAAGTTGGAAAGGACCTCTTGGAACCCTTCAATACCGAACGAAGATTTCTACAAGGGACCTTTTGAACATCCTGCTGGAAAAAGGTCATACGAGATGCAAATGTGAACGGAAATGACACTCTGAACACCAAACAGCATATGTTACTCGCATACGCCGACGACATCGACATAATGGGTGGAACATTGCAAGCAGTAACAGCCACCTTTGAACGAATTGAAAAGTAGTCTGCCAATTTGGGACTGGCAGTAAATTGCGAGAAGACAAAAGCTGATGGTATCAACGAGCAAAACGTCCAGTAGACTCGGATCAACGGTGGTACTTGAAAACTACTGCTTCGAGGTAGTGAACGATTTTATATACTTCGGTACCGGCATAAACAAAACTAATAACATCAGCTTTAAAATCCGGAGGAGAATAGTGTTGGCATACAGATGCTACTATGGTCTGAGTAAGCAACTCAAAAAAGCAAGGCTTCCTCCCGCCAGACCAAACTCACACTCTACAAGACGCCGATATTACCCGTGCTATTGTATGGATCTGAAGCATGGGTACTTGCTTTCGCAAGTGTTGAAGTGTTTGAGAGAAAATTTTTCTGAACGATCTATCGGCCGATATGCGTCGACGACAAATATCGTCGTCAAATGAACTATGAGTTGTACCATCTATTCCGGGACATCGACATAGTCAGACGTATCGAGCTGCAGCGACTACGTTTTCTAAGTCAGTTTGTGAGAATGGATGAAGATGCCCCAGCTCAAAAGGCATATAAAAGCGAGCCAACTGATGGTTCACGCTGAAGATGAAGGCCACGAATTCGATGGAAAAATCAAGTGGAAGACAACATTCCGGAACATGGTCTTTCAAATAGGAAGGGCTGCACACAAAACCGACGAGCTTAGAAATCTTTTTTAAGCTCGGCTTATGGAACAACCGTTCTGTCACAAGCCATCTAAGTAAATAAGGTCCAAAGATACCCACCATTCTTCGGTATTATGAGGATTTTGGGCACGTTTTTTCAACCAAATTGATTTGAAGTTGCTAAAATTTTCAATATGCAATCACTGTTTTAACCTCGAATTGTTGGTATCCATAAACGTTTTTCTTCCGAATTAGGTGTAATTTAACATTGTTAAATTTCATTGGGTTCTCATCAATAATATGGATCAATCATGGGGTGTAGCTTGCATATTAAGGTCCAGCTCCAATATAGGTACCTCATGATACTAGCCGCATTTTCCAACCGATGTATTGGCTGACAAATTACAGTCATTCCGACCACTTTTAAATGCAAATAGTCCAGGTTTGTACAAAGCCCACTTTCCATATGTTCAAGATCCTAGGCGAAGTTATCGACCTGAGTGTCTGTAGTATTGGTATTTCGATTTCTACTGCCTGCAATTTGCCATGATACCATATAGCTCCCATATTAATGCCCTCGGTACCTCGTTGATCCTAGGTGTATTTTCCATATAGGACCACTTTTAAAGACAAGTATTCCAGGTTTGTACAAAGCCCTCTTTCGATACGTTCAAGATCCTAGGCCAATTTTACAACCTGAGTGTCTGCAATTTGGATGCGACGGAAGCAACGGGTGTAGAGCGTGTAGAGAAGACAGCGAAACCTTGGAACATGTCCTGCGCCACTACCCAGCCTTTTTCAGGCTTTTGAAACCATTTCTAAGGAAATAACCGAACTAAGGGGCATGAATGAAAAAACTGAAGAGCTTCAATAAAAAAAATAACATTTGTAGAAGTTTATCCTTCTTCAGAGGGCACAACAGGATACTCACAGGTATATATTGTTGACAAAAATAATAATCTATATCGATTTATGCGTGTCCGTCAGTCTGTCGGTACAATGGTACTCACCAATTTTCGGGATTTTGGACACGTTTTCTAACCGAATTAACTGTAATTTGGTATTTTGGGTTCTCATTGCATAGCACATACACGTACCAAAAATTATTAATATTGGACCAAGTTTCAGGGTAGCCACCATGATCAATATTGATCCCCGTCGCGTTATAGGCCCAGAAAACGCTATCCTCCCTCTTAGGTGATCATATTTTTCTCACGTTTTTTCGGTTTATTCAAGGTCCTATCATAACATGAGATTTTCCTAGATATTTTGATTGTTTCGATATTTTGATTGTCTTCCTTTTGACAATCCCATTTTTTTTGGCATATTATGGTATTCTGAATGCACCCTAATGGCCAAAAAATTACGAAGTGTGTCATTTTATTTTTCTTATTTTTGTTTCATATAATCCACTGTAAAATATTTCTTTAATAATGTCAACCTGTGAAGTACCGTTTAATCTTACATGGCATGATCGACTTATTGTTCAACCCCCTTCCCATCATGACAACCCATCCGAGTTCAGACATCTAGCCTGCCAGCTAGACAATCAACAATTCATCCGAGCTGGCGCATTGTTACCAGTCTTTTTGTTGACAAGTCTGGCCATAAACATTAATTGCTGCTACGACGACATATCAGCTAACAACAACTACAACAAATCGGGATCAACTTTTCAACATTTCTTTAAAACAA